TAAAGACCATGGGATGAATGATCGGTCATATCAAACCCGACGAAGAACAGTTGCTCAAACGTCATTGGTTAGATAAAGTGGTAATTTTTCTTTTTTGGGAAATATTTCTTTAGTGTAGTAACACAGGTTTGAACGGAATGCAATTTTACAAGTACAATTTGCGATCATTGCCCTAACTAGGGTAATAAGGAGCAGCTGACACCACATCTTACAGTTTGTTGCATGACTTTGGTTACCTATTCGCATATGTATCATATTTCAGCTTCTCCAATATCGATGAATATTTTATATTTATTTTTTATAATAGTAGCACGCTCATTATCTCGAAAATCAGCCAAGCTAAGCATGATTTAAAATTTATGGCTAAAATTCCATATATAGTTTCGGTTTCAAATGTAAAATCTGTAAGATGAGAAACTAAACGTTTAGTAATCATTTATATGATAATTTACTGTTGTTTTACTCTATGTTGATTAGAATAACCATTAGATCGAAAGCAAACGTGAGAAAATATTCATGGCTAAATTTTGTACTGCAGGGTGTGTTAACAGCGAAATTATAAAACTCGTATTGCGCTAACCCTATTACATATATTCACGTATAACGGATTAAGCTGTAACTGTAAGACATTCTTTATTAGAGATATTTTTATAATTGTTTTCTAGTTAGTTTTACATTTAAGGTAATGTTTGAAACCGATACACTGAAATGTGATTCTTGCAAATAACAAGTTAGTATCCACGAGAAAGTCTATTAACTGAAATTCAGAACGTGCGAATATTTTTTTCCGTCATCCCAGCTTTTTCTTTTTTCTAATTTCAACAGAAGACAACAAAAAAGCTAAAATCGGAGAATTATATGAACAAATATATTCATGCTCTGACAAGTAATCACAGAATTTCAATATTGGATACCAACAAATGGCGCTATGCCAACAAGGAATTTCGAAACTATAGCTTTGAACAAATCGGTTCGCAAGGAAGAGTTTATTTGTTTGTTTTGAATTTCGCGCAAAGCTACACGAGGGCTATCTGCGCTATCCATCCCTAATTTAGCAGTGTAAGACTAGGGGGAAGGCAGCTAGTCATCACCACCCACCGCCACCTCTTGGGCTACTCTTTTACCAACGAATTGTTGGATTGACATCACATTATAACGCACCCACGGCTGAAAGGGACGAGCATATATGGTGTGACGGGGATTCGAACCCGCAGATTGCGAGTAGAGCGCCCTAACCACCTGGCCATGCCGGGTCACCGCAAGGAAGAGAGAAGCAGTAATACCCATACACTGTTGTCTGTTTAAGAGACACGTTATGAAGTACCGAACTAGTGTTAGTTTAAAGCAAGTAACATGAACGGATTTTAATAACTCCTAGATAGTTGTGAGGCGAGGAACTTCACTATACAATTTAAATAAACGTCCAGAGATGCACCTTTTGAGTTGATTGTTATCATTACCAGATTTGTGGATAAAGAAAGTGAAAACAGGGGTATAAATTACATGAACATAACAATAAAAAGACACTCGGACGGTTTTAACACGAAAATCTACCACAAATCTGGTCATGATAACAACTATATAAAGTGGGACTCAGCTCACAAAATTGGCACGTTATCATACATTTAGAACACAGCATTTAACTTATGCAGCATGAACCAGAATCGATAGCTGAGACATTTATTAACACTTCCCTAAACATATTATCACTAGAACCTTAGTCAAATATATAAACAAACTCAATACTAGAAAAAGAAAACAACAACGTAAAATTCACGAAGGAAACAAAATACAAAGACTCAGACACACTAACAGGTGTCTTACATTACCATGGCTATGTAACCAACAACATCATAAACGTTTGGAAGTATGTATCAAAAAATACTATATTAATAGCAAATATATTTTAATTCAAAAACCGAGCACTAAAATCAAAGGTCATCGAAGGAAGGTTTATTCTGACAAGTTCAACAACGGAAGCATCTACAAGTGTCAGTGCGATAGCACTTACATAGGCGAAACGGGACGCAACATAAGCATTAGGATCAAAGAACATAACAATCCCCTATGACACATTTACGAACACAGCATAACGAATCAACATACAATTAAGATTGACAGCTTGAAAATACTGTGCAACGAGAACAACATTAGTAGAAGAAAAATAAAATAATCTTAATTTAAATCAAAACGCAGGTGTCACTCTATATGTTTTCTAAATTGTAACAAAATGCTCGCTCAGTATTTCACGCAATAGACGACAGTTACCTGGTGATGGCCACACGAGTGGTCTAAACACTAATAAAGTTAAACAAAAAATCCACTCGAAAGCTGTACCTCTGGACTTTTAGTTAATCTATTAGACAGTATAGATTAATTATGAAGGATGACGAAATTATGCTATTATACGGAGACGACGCGTATAATATCATTACAAAATAGGCTTAAGATAACTTTTAAAGTTATTTATCTCATACAAGTGGGAGTGATATACTAAGTCTCACATAACATTGTGATGGAAAATCATATTATCATTAGATTTTTAAAGCGTTATATTTACTCATGCCGTAGGTGTAGTATTGGGCTGCACTGCATGTTCCCCATTCCTTTTAGTTTAAAGTTAAGTTCACAAAATTTTTCTTTCTCACAATAACTCCCAAGGTTGGACCATAGCTTTACTCAAGCAAGTTTCTAACTTTAACCAGCTGATAATTGGGTCAAGTGGAGATTTGGTGTTTTCTTGTCTGGTTCTCGTACAGGAATAACAACGTGGATTTTAAGTAGCACGCTTATCTAACAGACACCAATGTTTGTAGGTGTCGGAAACTGGGGGGGTTTATTGTCATGTTTAAAAAAGTGTTGGAGTCTAAGCGAGCAAATTTCTAGAATCTTACCAGCTTCTACCTAGAACTTACTTTTAAAGTTCTCGTTGTCGACTGCCTGTAATAGGTTTGTGTGTATTTTTGGGTTGTGTTACTCTCCGCGAACTTATAAAATTATCTTGTAATTTTAAAGTTATCTTTCATTTTCGTTTGTTTGGGAGCCATTTGGCTTTCGCTTATAATTAAATTTTCCATTGGGCGAACTGAACATAAGTGGTACACATGATGGCGGAGCATAGGTTTTTATTTATAGTACGGCTTACTATTATTGTTCAGCAAAGTTAAGGCGAGTGGCAAATCTGTTGTGTTACATTTTAACTTGGTGACTCTTACTCTGTTACACACTGGCTTATGTTACGGGGGGAAGGACGCACGTACTAGCAAAAGCATATTATTTAATAAAGTATTTGTTGCTCTCGCTAGTCACACTTGCCTTATATTGAATAATAGTATTTTCGTGCTTCTTTAAACTGTAAAAATCTCAAATAAAGATTGGTTCCTTTTGTAAATCTGGTTGTATTATCACATTCTTTGTAGCCAAATCGTCACACCCATCGGGAACACACCCGCATAAAAGATACACGAATCTCCTATTTTTTGCGGACTCGCACTTCTCTGTTTTGCCGAAAATTCCCGAGATATCACATAGGCAATCAAAAGTGAAAAAATAAAGATTTAAAACAAATATTATTTTACGATCGTACATTAACTCGACTTTACTATATTTATTCCATAAGTCACATTGCATACAAAGTTCTTCCAGGATTCTACACATTCACTGGATATGTTGGAGTCAGTGCCTTTTCTGGATGAAGGGTAATGAATCTTGTGATTCAGGACATCCAGCTGTGCAAAACAATACAAGTAGTTAGCACAGGCTTTGATGTAAAGCTATCAGCTCTCTGACGAGGCTGAAAGATTTGGTTGTACTTTAGATTTACGAACAGAGACATATGAGAACCAGACCAGGTACCATCTATTTTGTAAAGCATAACACCTGCAGTAATATTAACTCCCTCCGACAAATATAGAAGAGTACCTTAAATCTGCAAACTAAACAGGCTCGAATTTGGAAACGTGCTCTAGAATCTAATCTGCAAATCCAAACTACCATAAAAAATGGATGGAAGTTTACTAAAAAGCAGCTGACCAATGTCTGGATGGACAGTCTTCCTGTACTTGAGTTGGGGTTGCTGTGACCCGAGAAGATACTGATGTTTTGCTTGTAACTTACCAATGTACAGCTGAATGCAAATATGGAAATCACCGCACAAAGGTGTAACAGTCTTTACTAATGATGAAATTCACAGAAGTATTACATCTCCACCAGGGCAAGACATTTTGTTGCAAACAGTTGGATGTGAATTTTGTTTTATATTAAAATTCTAAAGACATATTTACTTGAGATTTGCGACACGCGGTGTTTTATTTCAAATATACATTAATATAACTAAAATATAAGCTGTTTTCATAAAGAAATATTGTAATAAGGTCATTACAGTAAGCCCACCCATTTATGTTTCTTAATTTTTGTGTTCAGCTAAAAAAAGGGAGAAACAACAGAAAAAGGAACAATTTATTCATCCATTTTGAACGAATGATACATTATTACTTTAACAAAGTATGCTGATAAAAAACTTGTATTTGTACCAATATTAACAAAAGTCACCAATATTTCTTCAAAAACTAACATAATTTGAAACCTTTCGAAAAAGTGGTATTTCATAAGCTATCAGAAAAAAATCAGGATTTTACATAGAAACGTAAGAATTGAAATGCACATAACAAACTATATTTTCAGTATTATTTTATTACAAGTTCAGTTTTTACAGTAAGGAAGAATATTTTAAAAACAGGTACGACATTTCAATCATTTTAACGGTAAAGAAGGTTTTAGCATTTAAATCAATATTCAACAATCTAAAATCTGTGATCGAAACGTCGTACCTGTTTTAAAAATATTCTTCCTCACTATTAAAGCTGGAAATTGTAATAAAATAACATTTTTAATCACTACTTCTGAAAACAGGTACTGTCAAAAAATTATTCAGAATAATAGCACTCTACACTGAAATTCCCGTCCACCAGATAAAACAGATTTATATATGTATTTTTTTTTATTAAAAATTTTCTTCGAGTTTCTGATTTTCTCGCTCACACATTGGTCCGTCATCATTCTGTAAAAATCAATAAACTGGATAAGAAACAAGACAACCTTAAGCATGATTTGCTGTAATACTACTAAACTTAAAAATTACGAACAAATATATTTTTGTATAAAGTATAAAATAACCTACATCACACAGATTTTATTTTGCGCAAATACAGTGACAGATATGATAGATTAGACGCACGTACTTAAATCAGTTAACTTATCAATCTATTACCCTCACAAAATAGGGTATGCAATAAAAATCTGACGTAATATGGGGTTTAGTTTGTTTGTCTGAAGTTAAGCACGAAGCTA